ATGGGTGAATTTTATCAAACATTTAAGAAGAATGAATGCCAATCCTTCTGAAACTCTTCCAAAGAAGTTGAATAGGAGGAAACACTCTTCAAACTTATTTTACAAGGCCATCATTACCCTGATATCAGAGCCAGATAAGGACACTCCAAGAAAAGAAGGCCAGTATCCCAGATGAATATAGATACAAAAATTCTCAAAAAAAAAACAAAAACAAAAACAAAACAAAACAAAAAAATTCTCAACAAAATGCTAGCAAACCAAATTCAACAGCACATTAACAGCACATGATCAAGTGGGATTTATTTCAGGAATGCAAGAATGGTTCAGCATCTGCAAATCAATCAATGTAATGTGCCACATTAACAAAATAAAAGATAAAAATCGTATGATCAAAAAAAAAAAATCGTATGATCAAAACCTATAATGGAAAAGAATCTGTAAAACATATATATATATATACACATATATATGTATATATATGTATATATACACATATATATATAAACTGACTCACTTTGCTATATGCCTGAAAGTAACACAACATTGTGAATCAACTGTAGTTCAATTAAAAAATCATAAGATCATCTCAATAGATGCAGAAAGAGCAATTGACAAAATTTCAACATCCTTTATGATAAAAACTCTCAAGAAAGTGGGCATAGAAGAAGCACACCTCAATATAATGAAGCCATATATGAGAAGCCCACAGCTAACATCATACTCAACAATGAAAGGTTGAAAGCTTTTTCTCTAAGATCAAGAACAAGACAAGGGTGCCCACTCTCACCATTCCTATTCAACATAGTACTGGAGGGACTTACCTGGTGACGCAGTGGTTAAGAATCCACCTGCCAATAGGTTTGATCCCTGGTCCGGGAAGGTCCCATGTGCTGCGGAGCAACTAAGCCCATGTGCCACAACTACTGAGCCTGCACTCTAGAGCCCATGAACCACAGCTACTCAGCCTGCGTGCCACAACTACTGAAGCCCACATGCCCTAGAGCCCATGCGCTGCAACTACTGAGCCCATGCGCCACAACTACTGAAGCCTGTGCGCCCTAGGGCCCATGTGCCACAACTACTGAGCCCACATGCTGCAACTACTAAAGTCCACGAGCCTAGAGCCCACGGTTCGCAACAAGAGAAGCCACCACAATGAGAAGCCCGCGCACCACAATGAAGAGTAGCCCCCGCTTGTCGCAACTGGAGAAAGCCTGCACACAGCAACAAAGACCCAACGCAGCCAGAAAAACCAACACCAACAACAAAAAACAAAAAAAAATCCCATAGTACTGGAACCCCTAGCCAGAACAATAAAGCAGTTAGGCAAGAAGAAGAAAGAAAAGGCATCCAAATGGGAAAGAAAGAAAGAAAGAAACTGTCACTACTTGCAGATGACATGATCTTATACATATAAAATTTTTGAAGACTCCACCAAAAAACTGTTAGAATAAAAAAATTCAATAAAGTTTCAGGATACAAAATCAACATACATAAATCAATTAGAAAATCAGAATATCCTCTGAACTATCTGAAAAAAATATAAAGCAAACAATCCTATTTACAATAGCATCAAAAACAATAAAATACTTAGAAATAACTTTTCACTAAGTAAGTGAAAGATCTATATACTGAAAACTATAAGATATTGATGAAATTAAAGAAGACAAAAATAAATGGAAAGATATCCCATGCTCAAGAATTAGAAGAGTTAATATTGTTAAAATATCCACCCCTACCCAAAGCCATCTATAGATTCAATGCAATCCCTATAAAAATTCCAGTGGTGTTTTCCACAGAAATAGAAAAACCAATCCTAAAATTTGTATGGAACCACAATGGACTCTGAATAGCCAAAGCAATCTTGAGAAAGAAAAAAGCCTGAAAGCATCACACTTCCTGATTTTAAACTATATTATAAATCTATAGTAATTCAAAACAGTGAATGTTGTACTGGCATAAAAACAGACACATAGGGCTTCCCTGGTGGCGCAGTGGTTGAGAGTCCGCCTGCTGATGCAGGGGACACGGGTTTGTGCCCCGGTCCAGGAAGATCCCACATGCCGCGGAGCGGCTAGACCCATGAGCCATGGCGGCTGAACCTGCGCGTCCGGAGCCTGTGCTCCGCAATAGGAGAGGCCACAACAGTGAGAGGCCCGTGTACCGCAAACAAAAAACAAACACAAAAAACCAGACACATAGACCAATGGGACAGAATCAAAATCCCAGTAATAAACCCACACATATACAGTCAAATAATATTTTAACAAGGGAGCCAGTAATTTTCACTGGGGAAAGGATAGTCTCTTCAATAAATGTTGGGAAAACTGGATATGCAGAAGAACGAAACTGTACTGCTGTTTTATGCCACGCACAAATATTAACTCCAAATATATTAAGGACTTAAATGTTAGACCTGAAACCGTAAATCTCCTATAAGGAAACATAAGGGAAAAGCTGCTTGATGTTGGTGTTGGCAGTGATCTTTTGGATATGACATCAAGAGCACAAGCAACAAAAGGAAAAATCAGCAAGTGGGACTATATCAATCAGAAAAGTTTCTGTACAGCAAAATATACAGTCAACAAAATGAAAATTCAACCTGCAGAATAGGAGAAAATGTTTACAAACCTTATATATGATAAAGGGTTAATATCCAAAATATGTAAGGAACTCTTAAAACTCAGTAGCAAAATATCAATTATTCTGAGTTTTTAAATGAGAGAAAGATGTGACTTTTTTCCAAAGAAGTCATACATACATGAAAAGGTGTTTGATAATCAATGATCATCAGGGAAATGCAAATCAAAACCACAATGAGATGCTACCTCACACCTGTTAGATATTGCTTCACACCTATTTGCTTATCATTAAATAAATGCTGGCAAGGATATGGAGAAAAGAGAACTCTTATGCACTTTTGGTGGAAATGTACATTTGTACATTCCAAAATGCCAGTTCTGATGCCATTCTCTGGCTACCCATGTGGGGTGCTTTCAGACTAGGTTGAAGAGTTCTCCCCCAATTTTTTTTTTAATTTATTTTTTTGACTGCATTGGATCTTCTTTGCTGCCTGCAGGCTTTCTCTAGTTGCAGCAAGCAGGGGCTACTCTTCTTTGTGGTGCACGGGCTTCTCATTGTGGTGGCTTCTCTTGTTGCAGAACATGGGCTCTAGGCGCACGGGCTTCAGTAGTTGCAGCATGCTGGCTCAGTAGTTGTGGCTCTCGGGCTCTAGAGCGCAGGCTCAGTAGTTGTGGCACACAGGCTTAGTTGCTCTGCAGAATGTGGGATCTTCCCAGACCAGGGATCGAACCCGTGTCCGCTGCATTGCCATGCAGATTCGTAACCACTGCGCCAGCAGGGAGGTCCCAAGTTCTCCCCAAATTTGATGCCTCTGAAGTCTAGAATGATGTCTGTTATTGTCATCCAGGATGATTTACACTGAAATTAGCTGTAAACTCCCATATATAGTTATAATTGAACATTAATGTTTATGATTGGTAGTCATTTTTAAGAGTTAGTCAGTAAATTCACTTGAGAAGAATGCCTTAGTGTAGACCCTAAAAATAAAACAATGGAAAGAGTTGTAGGCCAGTAATCTTCCCAGTGGGATATAGGTCAGTAAACCATAGAAAGCTTGCTTTTTGTTTTTTGAAAGCCTGATTTTTTAAAAGCTTTTTTTTTTGTGAACTATTTTATTTATGAAGTTTTCTGTTGTACATAAACCTTCTATGTGATGATTTCCCCAGCTGGAGACCTGTTTTAATTATATTTAATATGTATCATGGGAACATATATTCCCATGGATGAACGTTAATAGTCAATAATAATTAGCCAATATAGCTAATAATGCACATGAATATTTAATAATTAACTAATATAGCTAGTGAGATGCATTTAAATTAATATTTAATTGTACTTCAGTTTTATTTAGGGTTAAATGTGTATACTTGTTAAAAGAATGAAACCATTCTACTCAGCAACCAGTCGTCTTAGCCATGTGATGTGGAACAGTTCACCAAATGAGAGCTGTCTCACAACCTGTAGGGGCCAAAAGGAGGCAGGATAGAAACTCTCATTTTCAAGTCGCCTAAGACCAGGGACTTGAAGAATGGTGAACACACCTTTCTTCCTGGCCGGGGTTTACTTCTAAATGTGACTGACTTTTCTTTAATAACTAATTATAAAAATAGAACAGCAATAATAAGAATACTAATTATAGATAACAATGATCAACCGCTTACAGTGTGTACTATGCTGAGTTAATCTGCACAAAACCCTATGAGGTTCAGCATGAAATGTTATCCTCACTTTACAGATGAGGAAAGTGTGAGTCAAGATTTAAAATTTTGCACTTAGGTCCCTAACTACTATATCTTGCTGCTTCCCATTATGTTATTTGAACCTTGCATTAACCTTGTGAGGAAGACAACAAAAACTTTTATTTCATTTTTATAGTAGAGGGAAAATGTCCCTTGGAGAGAGTAAACAATTTGTCTGGAGTTTCACAACCCATTTGCATGCAGCTGGGATTGGAATCTGCTTCTTCTAACTTTAGCCAGCAGCAAAGGAACAGCATGGAGAGATGTTTGGGAAGGAGCCACTTGTGGTTAAAGGCTATACCTTCTCCAGTGTGGAGAGCCTGAGGAAGCTGTGTCACGCAGTGCAGGATGTGATACATTGTGTGGAAAGGACAGTGGCAAAACAAAAATCCGGTAGCAAGCACCCACCTGTGACTTGGCTGGTACTCTAAGCTAGAAAGGCCTGGGTTTGAATCCAGACTTTGCCACCTTCTTGCTGTGTGGGACCTTCAGCATTTCACTTCCTTACACTAAACCTTAGCTGGCTCTGTCAAATACAAATAACATTTGTCTAACAAGTTTATTAGAATTAAATGAGATCATATATGTAAAATATATATCAGAATGCCTAGCATATAGAAGGTTCCTGATAAAAGTTAGTTTCCTTCCCAATTGATTGAGTTTTCTTTCTTTCCATAGCATTTATCTAGCCGGCAGAGTGTACAGCAAAGCACATCTCAGGTAAGCAACTTAACCAGGCCTCCCTCTCTTTTCCCTCAGTTCTTTCTTTTACACGATTATAAAATAGGGATGCACCAAGAAATTACTGACTCCTTTTTTTTCTTTTTGATAGTCTTTTATTTTTATTTATTTATTTATTTTTACCACTGACTTCTTGATTGTGACCTAAGGAGCCCTGACCTCCAAGCGGACTTGGCTACTCTCCACTCCTCTGTGCAAATTTACACAAGCACGGTTGAAACAAAGTAGACTGAGAGACTAAAATGAATCAGTCTGAGAAAATAAAAATGGTATTTAGAATGGTAACTATTACTATCTAACAGTATAAACGAAATGCATCAGGGTCATGATAGCAACTCCAAGAAGTGACTTTGAAAATGGTTCTCTGGAGAATTTAGACGTTTGTGACCTGGTGGAGATTTTGAGTTCACTTATAAGTTGGAATTACTGTTCCCATATCTCCTTCACTCTGTTTACTTTTCCCAGCTGCATATTTGCCTACCTCAAATCAAGCACATTGACGCAACATCTGCTACTAGCAAAGAAAACACTTTCAATCTCCCTTTCTCTCCCTTCAGCAGTATGAGAAGAGTTAGTCATTTAGTTTTAATTTTACTTATGATCAATATAATGAATAACTAAAATATTAGCAATCACTGTTTTTTGCCTTCCTCATTAGGTAGATACAATGCGCCCACGACATGGGGAAACCTGTCGGATACCAGTGCCACATCACTTCTTTCTCAGTCTGAAGAGTTTCACCTACAATACCATTGGGGAAGATACCGATGTCTTCTTTTCCTTATATGATATGAGAGAAGGCAAGCAGATCAGGTAAAAGTTATTAGAAGCTCTGGTGAGGTTGAGACTCTGTATTAGAATGGTGTGTCCTAGATCATAGGCATCTCTGGACTTCAGAGAAGATAGATGCACAGAGGAGGCAAAACAAGATAAAGTGACCTCCTCTTATTTAGCTGAGAGTTTTGCTTCAAATCCCAGTGTACCCTGAAGTCACATATGGCCTCTTTTGTCCCTGTGCCTATTTCCACATGGAAGCTCAAACTCAATCTTGGCCATCACCACCTCAGGGAAAGCAAATGATGCGTCTATTCAATGCCAGAGGAAACACATAGGAGAAACATAGAACAAAGCAAATTCAGCAAAGCGACCCAGCTCTTGAATGCAGGAAGCCCTGGGCTCTGCTTTCCTGCATGTGGGATGGAGAGGGCTCACAAGGAAATAGGCTTATGTTGTCCTGTTTGAGGGCAGCCCCGGCCCTCATTGTCCGCCTAGCCCCGTAAAAGGAAGAGCATATTCTGGACAAAAGGGAAAGTTGGCCTGACTCTATCATTCCTCTTTGACTTGGATTGGAGGAGAAGCCACAGAAAGGGGCTGACATGCAGTAGACTGTGTGTCTTAACAGAGCAATGAGACCCTTAAGCATGAGCAACTGCAGTAGTGTTTTTCCCCTTGAAAGGTAGGGAGAAATCAAGGAGACATTCTAGGCTTCTCTTCCTCTAGATGTCAGCAAGGCTCTAAAAGGGTGAGAAGACCTTTGTAGCCAACTTGGAATTTTAGGGAGCCCTGGCTTTTCTCTGTGATTATCTTCCAGGTGGGGCAGAGAGAAAATAAATCTTGGGATACTTTTATGTTGCATGGGAACTTTCTGTGTTAAGACTGCTTTATCGGTTGTTGTTGTTGTTTTACTTAAGATTTGAAAATAACTTACTTTTCTAATTGCGTGCTACATGTGCGAAGATTTTAAATGGAAGTTGTAACAGAGTACAAAAAGAAAGCAGTTAATTTATATGTTCCACAGTGCCTCTAGTCTTGACTATCCCACCCTGCCCCCCCGCCAAATTAAAGCACTGTGCTTCACTTTGGCATAGGAGTAAAATGATATACTCACTGATGAGGGCATGTGGGTTTTCCTTGTCACCAGTAGCTCACAGTATGTGCTTCTAGGAAAGCTGTGGTGGTGAAGGCAACTACAGCTGCTGCACATAGGCAAGACTATAGGCCAGGGCTGCATGGATGTAGATTCTGACTGCTCTTGTTTTTCTACTAGACCAGAGGTTTGTAAACTTTCTTATTTACATTTGTGTGTGGAAGAGTCCTTTTTCTTCAAGCTAAATTTTATAAGAAAGTTCAATAAATGAAACAGATAAAATAGAACTACTCTGCTGATGAAAGGGGAAATAACAGGTATCTCACAATGTCCCTGCCCCTACCTAGTAAGTACCCTGTGGAACCTCTGAAAGTACATGGGTTACAGTTTGAAAACCAGAGCACACTGTTTTGTCATCTCTGAGTGCCAGGGACTATGTCTTCTCTCTCCATGATCCTAGCACCACACGCAGTGCCTGTGCCCAGTACATTCTTTATCGGACTTAATGCACAGAGAAGATGCAAGCCCAGTACAGGCACCCCATTGCTCTGTTTGTAATTCATGCAGGATCATCAGTCCATGCAGTTGTTTTATCTTTGGACTTATTGTTTATAATTTAGTCTCAAGAAACAATAAAACATTTTAAAAGAAGAAATGTAAAAAAAATTTTTTATAGAGTTGCTGGAAATGATTAGGTCATTTAAAATCCCTACATATTAGAGAACTATACAACCTTCACATTCACATAATAAAACTGTAAGATTCTTAGTTGAAAATGTACACTTTCTTTAGTTTTAAGAGTGAATTAACAAGTAGAATTTTAGACATAGGTTTAACCAATAAATGTTCTTTCTTCTTTCCATTAGGATTTGTGTAGTGTGTAAGCCCTTAAAAATTTTAGGTCATTGAGCTGGTATTATCAGATAATTATGCTTTCGTTATGATTAATTATCAAATTGGTCACATATTACTTTTTTGAAGCAGTTGTCAGAAGTCACAAAAGATTAGGGGGATGTATTACATCAGGTACACAGAGAATAGATACAGAGCAATCGGTTTAATTGTTTCTTCTCCTCAAGATAACTCCTTGAGTGACTATTTTTCCAGTCAAATATTTGTAGTCTGGCCTCCAATCAAATGGTGCTAGTGTAGTGTTCAGTATTGCCAGGACACACTCAACCTCTGTGCCAAAGAACACATGTGAGCGGGGGAGCAAGCTAAAGAGAAGACCAGCTATTTCTCTACTCTAAGTCTAATTGCTGATTCCACAGGCAAACCTAGAAGGGCTAAAGTGAATGACAAATTGCCAACCCACATCATGCATTCTGATATATTTTGACTGATGAGTATTAGATGATCTGCTGGAGGGCAGAAGCAGCAGCTGGCAGGGCCTTGGTAGCTCTATTTTTTTGTTTCATTTCATCATTCCAAACAGAATCATAAATACTTAGCCTTGAAATCTAAATCTCTAATTAAGACCTCTCCCCTGAGTTTCAGGTCTCATTTCCTTTTTTCTACCAGACATATGCCCTTAGATGCCCTTCAGACATCCATCAACATTTCTAACCTGCATTCATTTTCTATCCTCACACATATACTTCCTCCTTAAATCAAGTGAAAGGCATTTGCTCAGAGATCCATATCAGAAACTTAGGAGTCCTCTTAGGCTCCTCCCTCTCTATCTCCATCCCTTCTCAGTTAATCACTATGTCTTATTAACTTCTATCTCCTAATGCCAATCAAATCACTACCCTCACTGTCACCCCAGATCCTTCACATTTCTCCCCAAATGTAGACTCCCTGAATCTGTCTTCCTGCCCTGAGTTATCTTCCACACCACCACTATACTTCTCTTTTAAAAATACAAACTGTTCATGTCAGCTCCCACTTAGGCTAAAAGCCCTTGTTACTTAGCATGGCATAAAAGGCCCAGCATGATATAATTCTGCCTGTTTCTCTAACCTTATTTCATGCATCCTGTTTTACTCCTGATGACTTATTTGGCTTTTTCTAAACATGCCTTGCTCTTTCATGCCTCTCTACCTTTGTTGGCTTGGTAAACTCCTGTTCATTCTTTACAACTCAACTTTATGAAACCTTCCTCATTCTGTTTATGAGTAGAATCAGCCCTGGGGCTTCATTGTGCACATTATGTCACCCTGTACCTAGCTTTATCCCATTACCAGATATTATACTGTAATTATACACATGCATATAGATTTCCCCCACTGGAATGGGAGCTTCCTCGTGTGTTTTTTGTACCATTTTCTCCCCAGTGCTAACCACAGGACTTTGGATATTGGAGCATTAAATAAATAGTTATTGAGTGAATGAATGAATAAATCCATCTATCAAATAAGTACCAGTCAGTCTCCTGTGAATCAAGAAATTTTCATTTAATTGAACAGTTTAGCAAGCATTTGCTGAGGGTTTCTTGTTTGTGGGCCCCTGCAATACCTGCTAGGGATTTAGAGTTAAAAAAAGAAATGTCCCTGCCCCTGAGGAGGTCTGAACAGGGTATTACAGAATTCCTAAAAGATGTGAAACATGTTATTCCCAATTTTAAGTACCAAACAAGCTGAGTGGAAAAGTAAGATGGGCAGATGTCTTATTGACATATGGCAAGACTTTAAGCACAATAAGAAGTCAGGGAGGTGAATGTAAAATATTTGGCTGATGGGAAGCAGCAGCATAGCACAGGGAGATCGGCTCGGTGCTTTGCCATGACCTAAAAGGGTGGGATAGAGAGGATGGGAGGGAGGCTCAAGAGGGAGGGGATATGGGGGGACATGTGTATGCATATGGCTCATTCGCTTTGTTGTGCAACATTAACACGGTATTGTGAAGCAATTATACTCCAATAAAGATGTATTAAAAAAAAAAAAGTCAAGGAGGGACTTCCCTGGCGGTCCAGTGGTTAAGACTTTGCCTTCCAATGCAGGGGGTGCAGGTTCGATCCCTGGTTGGGGAGCTAAGATCCCACATGCCTCGTGGCCAAAAAACCAGAACATAAAACAGAAGCAGCATTGTAACAAACTCAGCAAAGACTTTCAAAATGGTCCACATCAAAAACAAAAAATCTTTTAAAAAAACTTCAGGGAAAAACAAACAAAAAATACAACCTATTAAGATAGAAACTTTTATAGAGCTTTTCAAGCTGAAAAAAATGAGAAGTCCTATCCAAATCCTGGTTGTTTCATATATTTTTTCTAATCAGTTACATTTCAGACTTTGCTTCATATTTAGGATTAAATTGTATGGTTTGGGAAAGAAATACAGTCAGCTTTGCAATGATATACTGGGAGAGATGACTTATCCTTTCATGATGAGCTGGATCAGTTGTCACCAGGGTTTTGAATTCAACATTTGAAGAACTATTTTTTTTAAGAGGAAAAGAAGTCAGGGAAGAAAAGGGTCATTGAGAGACTGAGAAGACCTCAAGGGCTCTTGGAGAAAATGAAAGTAGTTGAAAAATAGTGGCCAGGATCCAGATAAGGTATTAACTCATTTGTTCAACAGATATTTATTAAGCATCTACCAAGTATTGCGTTAGGTGCTAGGGACACTGAGGTGAGCAAGAGAGAGATCTGCTTGTCTTCCTGGAGCTTATGATCTAGTAGAGAAACTAACTGTTTCTAGTAGAGAGACCATTAGACACATGATCACATGAATAAGCACATAGTTTAAAAATTGTCATAAGTGCTATAAAGGAAAATCATGCAGTGTGCTGTGAAACCTCATGTAGATTGGAGTGCAGGGAAGGGAGCTCTTATGGCATCCAAACTAAGGCTTAAAGTATGAGTAAGAAAAAAAGAGTGGATAACATGATCTAGGCAGAAGAAGGTCTAGATGCAGGGAAAAACTTTGTACATTCAGAAAACTGGGAGGTAGTCATTGCTGGGGGAATATAGTGAGTGAGGGAAGGGAAGGATATCACAAGAGGCAG